ACAAGCGGTTAAGCTGCTGAATTGTTATTTCACTTGACTGCAGTTTACTGCTTTATGCGATTTGACATAATAAAGTAAAAATTATTGAGATGAAAGAAGATATAAGCTGAAGGCTATCAAATATTGATTATTGAGTAATCACAATACACATATACATTGTAAATAGATAAAAATGTTCCTTTGCTATTTTAAAGTAAAAACTGCTTAAAGGGATTTTAATCTGGAACACTGATAGCTTTAATTTGCACCATTCCAATTTTCATTCCGACGTCTGTGGTTCTTGCAATTACACTAAAACGAAAGCATTTTATGACGTCACTAGAGGAGAGCTACCGGAAGCCACTATTGATATCTATGCGGTTCCGCTTTAGTGACGTCATAAAACGCGTTAGTTTTAGGGGAATTGCAAAAACCACAGACGTCAGAAAATTGAAATGGTGCAAGTTGATGCTATCCGTGTCCCGGATACACGTAAACAGTTTAGAGAACCTCTTTACAATCTCTTTAAGATGTGTATTCGAGGAAAACATGGTCTATTATCAGCAATTGTCGTAGCATACTAGGTTAACTTGATATGAATCAATCCTTTTTGATGTTAATGCACCACTGAAACTCCACCCCCTTTTAAAAAAAAAACTCTCGAATTGTGTGAACTTCTATTTGATGGGATAAAATGAAACCGTTATCAATATTTTAAATCATTTAATAAAATGTGCATTAAAATTTTTAATCAAATTCATCCTAACGTTTGTTGAACTCGTCAGAAAGATGGTATGTATACTACATAGATGCATATTACACCTGGCACAGAAGTTTTATAAACTATAATTGATCGCGAAAGTCGACATCTGCTCAGCAATATGCCAGAATCACGCATTGTCTGGATGTCTGGATAGCTTGATGTCTGAATGGCTTGATGTCTGGTTGATGGCATGGTGGCTGGATGGTTTGGTGTCTGGACAGCTTGATGTTTGAATGGCCTGATGTCCGAATAGTTTGATGTCTGGATAGTTTAATGTCTGGTTGTCTAGATGACATGATTGCTGGATGGTTTGATGCCCGAATAGCTTGGTGTCTGGACAGCTTGATGTTTGAATGACTTGATGTCTGGATAGCTTGATGTTTGGATAGCTTGATGTCTGGATGAGTGGTTTGAAATCCGAATGGAATGACTCGATCTCTGGACAGCTTGATGTCCGAATAGTTTAATGATTAGATTGATTGTGCTCTATCTTTTCAGAATAAAATCAGGATGAATTTTCTTCGATCTCTGTACATCCTGCTCATCGCCCTCCCTATCTTTATTTTCCTTTTTGTTCGATACCAGCCGTTACGATATCTACTAGCAAAATCCGTGGACAGGGAAGCCACAGAAATAAAAAAAGAAAAAGATAGTATGCTTCAAGAAATGACAAAAGAAAAAGAAAATATGCTTCAAGAATTGAAAAAAGAAAAAGAAAATATGCTTCAAGAATTGACAAAAGAAAAGAAGGACCAAAACGAAGACATGACAAAAAAAATAACAATAACGAAACCAAAAGAACCAACTGTTCCTCAAAACATTGGAGTAAAAGATTTGTGTACATTGCTTGATAAAGGTGAGTATCTATTTTGTTTAAGGAAATTCATATACATGTATTGCAATAGAAGGCTTGAAGGATACACACATTAAGTAGCACTTGAACGCAGCTGTGTGTATTACTTCTTACCGGCTATATTCCATCTGTTAATCGTCCCAAATTATGGACATCCCATTAACTCGATGTCCCAATTGATAGACATATTATTTAGACAAAGGGGGGATATACTGGTAATAACCCATCCTGTTTGTAAGACATCCTATTTGTTAGACATCTTATTAGTTAGACTTCTTATTAGTTAGACATCCCATTCGTTAGACATCTTGCTTGCCCCACAGCCCAGTAGTTAGACATCCCATTAGTTACACATCGCATTAGTTTGACTTCCCATTAGTTACACATCTTATTAGTTAGACATCCCATCAGTCAGATATCATATTAGTTTGACTTCTCATTAGTTAGACATCCTATTTGTTAGACATCCCATTAGTTACACATCATATTAGTTAGACATCCCATTAATTACACATCATATTAGTTAGACACCCCATTAGTTACATATCATATTAGTTAGACATCCCATTAGTTACACAGATTTCCATCTGAGGGGGGCGGGTCGAGATATCTGAGATTAAGAAAGATTTAAAAGATTAGGTTTATTTCCAGCTTACTCTTCAAGGTTTGAATGGTTTTATCCTTTCTGTAAACAAATATTTGTTACACATATTTTTAATTTGACCTTATACACTATTTGGTATGCACGTGTTGTCATTCTACTGCATATTTGAGAGCCAAAGCAATTATAATTGTTGGGCGAAGAAAAGCATTACGGTTCAAAAGATAATCTGTGATATATAGAAAAGACATCTATAGAAATGGTGAGTAAAAACTCCTAGTTTGAGATATTTTTGAAGGAATTATGAGATTTTCATACATTTCTAGTACTTCTTAAGACTATTAACAAATTTTCAAGACTCCAATCAACACTGAAAGAATGTAGTACGGTAGTTTAATAAACATTTTATATCTCAATTCTGTATCAACAATGTAATATAAAAAAA